ATACTTTAATCTTTATTATTATACACACATATTTTATTGCTGTTTTTGTTTTCTCTCTTGTAGAGGGTAGAAGCAGACTTCAAATGTGTCGTCTTGTGTTTTCTTAATGCATCTCTCTCATATCATCTTATCTCCATTTCAATCTCTTTCTTCATTTTTCTCCTTTTTCTTTTCTTTGTTTAATTTTTCTGTCTCTGTGTCCATTATGAATTAATTTAACAATTTATAATGAAGGTTTAAATATATATCAAGTGGAGCATCATGGTGAAATGCCATTATGCTGCACTTGTAAAAGTATAACTGTTGGGCTTCATTTGGACACTCAGACATCAATTCTGAGTTTCCGGACAGGACACGGAGAAAAAAACAGGAGGAGAGGAGAGGGCAAAGTGCTGCTCGGATGAATAAAAATGGGAGGGATTGATGAAGTAGCAGATCTGAGGGAGTGACAGAAAAGGAGAGAGGGAGGGAAAAGAGGAGAATAGAGACACAGCAGGACCAAAGTCCCAGTTTTCTCTCCTTTCTTTCTCTCATTGACTCCAGGGTGAGAGCAACAGAAAGGTGAGTTTTTTTCTTTTTCTTTTTGCTTCATCTTTTATAACAAGCTGTCTTTAGGGTCACATGAATTTTTTTCTGGTTTTATTTTTTTGTTTGTTTTGTTTTTACTTCAGCACAACTATTTTGTACGTACAACTGTGTGAATTCACTTTTCTTCTAAAAAAATTTGATTTCAAACCTCATCAGTCTGAGGCGCATCTACAACATGCCCAGAATGTAACTAAACCTGCAAGAGGAGGCATTTTAAAGGTTTATCCCTAAGTTTTCAGATTTCATTTTCAGATTGTTTGCATGAGACATCGGAGGGTTTCAGAAGTGGATCAAAGGTTTAACTCCCAGCATCTCCTACAGACCTGCTGTTTTATTTATATGTGAGAACATTTTTATGGGAGTGTTTATTTGCTTTTGTGTTTTTTGGCTAAATGCAAGCAGCTAAACTTGAGGGTTTGTGGAAGGCCAGAGTTTCCGTTGGCTGGATGGAGAGACTACTTTTAGCTTTGGTCATTACTCCCTGTGCTGGTCCAGACTGTCTCTCAGGCCTCTCACTGTCCTTTATATGACCGATTATTTTAAAGGGATGAAAAAAAAAGGGTCCATAAATCTTTCATTTCACCATGGAGTGTCCCATTAGGGTTTTAAGGAAAGTTTCTAATTATACATCTGCCAGGGTGTGGAATGTGAGTTCCATGTCTGCACTTGATTGTTGGGATTTTTGTGGTGACATGGTGCACATTTATATTTGGGGTCTCCAGCTTTGGCGTTTTCTCTCTTTTGATCCCACAGTGAGCCCTTACTTTTGTGTCTCCAGGATGCTGCCTCTCAGTTCCTTGTCCACGCTCCTTGTCCTGCTTCTCCTCTGCCCCCCTCAGCTGTCGGCACAGAGCGTACAGATACGTCTGGCGGGGCAAAATCGGCGAAATGCGAACGAGGGTCGAGTGGAGATCTTCTACGATGGATCGTGGGGCACAGTGTGCGACGATGATGTGAATATTAACCTGGCCAATGTTCTGTGCAGGCAACTCGGCTTTCAGCGTGGCCTTACCTGGGCCCACAGTGCCAAGTTTGGTCAGGGTCAAGGTACAGCCTGTACTGCACCCTAATAATTACTGATTTTATTTGGTTTGTCTTTAACTCATTGCTCTCCTGTCTTAGGTCTAATCTGGTTGGACAATGTGCGCTGCCAAGGCTCTGAGCTCTCTATTACAGAATGTCATTTCAATGGTTGGGGAGTCAATGACTGCACCCATGCTGAGGATCTAGGGGTCATCTGTAGCCCAGAAAGGAGATCTGGTTTCCCTGCTGTCACTCTAGAAGAAGCACCTTTATCCCCCAGGACGCAGCCGAGCCAACAAAGAAGCCCACCATCACAGTCTCAGTCCCCTGCAGCTCCACCTGCACCCCCCGCAAACATTCCCATTAACCCYGCAAGAGGCCACGAGATCGCCCTCCACCGCAACCCATCCACCGCTCATCGCAGCAACATCTCCCCGCGAGAAAACGGCCACGAGATCCAGCTCCTGAGGCGAAATCGAGGAGGTTCGAGGACAAACCAACAGAACAGGCCGGCTTTGCCCCAAGGACACCAGCTGCCCTCACGTCTGATAAACATCGAGGCCTACAGGCAGAGACAGGAGACAGCAAGGACCAGTCCACAGGCTGTGACACGGGAGGCAGAAGAGCAGGTGGACGGGCAGCCGCAACCCCAGCCTCACTCACAGCTCCAGTCTGAGAGAACCAGTGACAGGCAGCAGCAGTTCAGTGGGAACCACGTTGAACCAGATCCAGTTTATCCAGACTTGGAGCAGGAGACTGATGCACATTAYACACAGGTAAAAGCAGAATACAGCTAAGATACACACCCAGTCTGGTTTTGTAGACTTGAATAGAAATGTCAGCTGTGCTCCCACAGGCTAGTGGGCATCTATAATAAGAGATGTATCTAAAACCTCAAGCTTCTCAAAATCCAGTCCCTCTGCACCAGAGGGACCTAAAGTTTAGTTTAGTTCATAGGCTCCTCTTCTAACGGAAACATCACAGATCAMAGSAAATTTACTTGCAGACATCACAGTTTCTCACTATTTTGTATACATCCTGACAYATTCCACAAACTCTGCCTTTACTGTTAGTTTCCTTCCTGCTGATCGCAGCACACTATGTGGATGATTAGAGGGTATGGCCATCAAAGCGTGTTATCTTTTTGTGTTATTCTAGCCTTGATTGCGTGCCGTCTGCTGCTGTTTATTCAAACAATGTGACAGTGTTTTGTGTAAGGAGAGCTGACGTTATCTTATTGTTCCCCACAGTGCAATCACAAGAACTATTGTTAAAGCGGCGGCTCAGACCTTTTAAATGAGGGTTCTTGAAACAACTCCAATCTCAAACATTTCAAACAATCTCAAACAGCATGCAAAGTATTTTATGTTTTTTTTACAAGATCAAATAAAGTCAGCATCAACTAGCTATAACAYTTCCAATGCACAGTGGTGGGCAGTGCTAATCCAAAAATTAGCCCTGCAATTTCTAAAGCACTTATGCCATAGAAAAACAAGCGGAAGCTAATTTTAAAGAGCAAGTTTAATTTGACACTTACTAGCTGGCAACAATTCATGTACTATACATACACAACCCTGCCAACTAGCAGTGTATTAACTATTTTACAACTTAACTCTACAACCGCCGATTGCTGGGGATGTGATTTCGTGAAACAGACCTTTAGCTCCTGGTGTAAAAATTAAAAAGTCGTTGAGGATTGCTAGTTCAGCTGCTTCTTTGTGTTTTTCTTTTGTTTGTTGAAGATTTTTCATTAAAGAAGCATCAGTAAAGTAATTTTAAAACTGTTTATTGGAAAACTGAAGCGACACATTCTGGGTGCATGACGGATTTGATTTGTGACGGGAAACGAAAGCACAGAGTACTGGAAACTATCTTCCCTTCAAAATAAGAGCTTGGATTTTGAAGTTTTCCATGTAGTTGCTCCAGTTGACCACTAGATGTCAGTCTTAATCAGCATAACATATTTAAATCATTTCTGAATCTCTAACCCCGTTGGCCGATTGCTTCGACCAATTACGTCAAGTGTTGAGCTCCAGCGTTTAAACTTAATTTTTTTTAAAAAGGAGCTCCGATTGTAAAGTAAAATAAATCAATACATACAAAATTTTAGTATGGATTACAAACGTTAACTGTTTTTGCTAATGCCTTCCTGCTACGTAAGCAGACACAAAGCATTGTGGGAAATGAGAACCCTGACCGAAACCAACAGTCATCTAGGATGTACTGTATACCTTCCCAAAAAGCATGTTCATCTGGGAGGGGTGCTGTTGKRYAGATCAAGTGTGTCATGATTCATTGACAGCCATACCTTCTGCTGTTTAAGATAATGATGACTGGTAGCTAATTAGTTATTAGCGATACCGCGTTTTAATTTTAGACAGCACTAATCTGCTTATGAATTACAAAAATTAGTAAGTCCGCTAAAACGCAAATGAAATATTTAGGTCTGCAATTAGCAAATTTGCACTTTAACGGGCTGGTGCCCACCACTGCCGATGCATTATGGTATACTTTCATTAGAATTTTAAAATCGATGTCACGAGCTTCAATGAATATTTGACATTAAAGCCGCTTTCAGAAAACAGATATTCACTTTGGTAGCAGTTAGGTCAGGGCTGGCCTGTAAGATAGACAAATGCAAAAGGTACCATCCATCTAGGGGATGCCACAAATCATAGACAATTTTTTTTACTCTTTAGCTGAATATAGTTGATTAAGTCTATTGAATTTTACTAAAGACTTTAGTTAAATGCTTTTAAAATGGCTGGAAAATGTATAGTTTTGAGTAAAWCCCTTTCATATTTTATCCTTAACTATTTTAATGAGACAACCTGGTTTCTAAAGATAAAAAATAATATCAAAGAGAAAACYATTTGATTTGGAAGGTGGTATGTCAGCCCATTCTCACTCCCAACTCATCTCATATTGACACTTATCCAAGGTTCCCTCTGCGCCCAGTTTACCCCCCTAGTGTCAGATATTGACGAGATGGGGTGGAATCCATTGTCGTACTTTCAGAAAGTGCAGAAAATGCACAAAAACTAACCGTCCCAAAGCCTAAAATTACCTTTATTCGCTCTAGACATCCTGTCCCTCACCCTAGTACCTAAAATTAACCATCAACTCTAATCCCTAACATTAACCATGGACCCCAACTCAAAGACCCCTATATKTTGTGTCCTGACACGTCAAAACCGGAYGCCGAGGGAACTCGGAAATGCCTGGTGTGTCAATAACTGACACGAAGGGGTTACCTGACGCGCCAAAATAAGACACACCTTGGAAAAGCGTCAATATGTGATGAGTTGGGAGTGAGATTGTGTTAGGTATGTGCAGTCGGCAGTGAGATTTAGAGAAATGCACAAGGAGCGCCACCTGAAATCTTGGCTAGGGCACCAAAGGACCAGTTCTGTGTTAGCTCATCATTCCAGCCATAATTCAACTATTTCTCCAAAGTGAGGTTGTTGAAAGTAATGTCCACAACTGCATGACCTTTAAAAGAACCCCACTTCAAATGATTTGAACTGTCCCTTTAATAGTTAAAAATGCCTTATAAATCACTTTCAGCTTTAACTGCCTCTCTCAACAACCCTTTTTCATGAACAGGGATCTGAGAGGGTCYACTTAGAGGAGGCTCGTCTACGTCCCGTCCTGTCTACCAACCAAGGTGGCCTGGTGACAGAGGGAGTGCTGGAAGTGAAGCATGCTGGGAAATGGCGTCATGTGTGCAACCAGGGCTGGGACTTGAGCAGCAGCAGAGTCGTATGTGGCATTTTGGGATTTCCTGCAGCTGAACCAATTGATCAAACCGCCTACAGGTAAGTATGTGAAACTGGACCTGGCCTCAGTGAAAGAGGAAATGAAACAAACAAACTGCTTCTTGTTTATGTATTTAGGAAAGAGGAGAAACTTTTAAATTCACAACACATCCCTTTACTTTAAGTAGCCTCTGGTCTGAACTGCTGTTTCAGCCCCCCTGTAGTAGAGGTTAACCCAAACAGCTGTCATTACTGTAACCACAGCTGGCATGATTCATCCACAGTGGCATAATCTAGATCCAGCTGTCCACCAGTTCTGTCTCCATCATCCTCTGAGCGGGCCTCGACTCAGAAGACTAAAATAGTTCCTGAAAGTGTGTCATTAATGTCACATCCAGACTACAAGATCATCGTGTGCGTCTTTGAGTGAAATCTACCTCTTTCTTGGTTTCTAATCTCATGTAATTAAGAAACATGCAGTTAAAATTGTGCTTAGCAGCATTTTTCTAATGATGGGGGATGTGTTTGTTACAAAGAATGAAGGCTCGGTAATTCAGGTTTCTAAGGATATAAAAAGAGCTCAGCTATCCTACAGGAAAAATGCATTTTGACCATCTTTATCCACTGTTTCCTTCTTTCAGTCACTACTCAGAGTTGGTGACCATAGAGTAAGGGTAAAAGCGTAGACCAACTGGTAAACTTTGACTTGAAGCTCAGCTCCTTCTTAACCACAACAGACCAGCACAAAGTACACAAAACCATGGAAACTGCACCAATCTGTTCATCTCATGTTCCCTTTGTCTCGATTGTGAACGAAACCCCAAGATATAAACTCCTCCACTTGAGCCAGAAGCTCTTCCCAACCTGGAGAAGGCAATTCACTTTTTTTCCAACTGAGGACCATTGCCTCAGATTTGGAGGTTCTTTCCACTCATCCATCCAACCATCCATTATCTTTACCAGCTTCTCCCTTTCTGGGTCATGACACTCATTTTGCTTTTAAATCATATCAAGGTATTCAACAACAGCATCAGAACTCCCCTTTAAACACAAACAGACATGCAAATAGTAGGCTTTCATAGATATAAACTTAGCATAAAATATAAGACAATTAGTGTTTGGTAGATTATTTCCTTGTTGTACCAATGCTTCTTGGCAATAAATCTTATAATGTTGGAAAGCCTGTGTATTTCTCATTTAAATGGTGCCACATTTGTAAGGAACATGCATTTGTGAGGTTGCACACATGATAAATTTGCCAAATCTTCTCTGTCAAACGGATTATTCGGCTGTTGCTATTGACACTTGTTTTGAGCTTCTGTTACACCCCACCCCCCGCCCCCCAGTTATAAGGTTTATTCACAAGAAGCATTGTTACAACAAAGACATAAAGTTAGTTAAAGTAAGTAGATGGCACCTCAGGTGTGGTTTATGGTTTTCATTTCTACCTCCACCACTGRTTACCAGATGTCCTTCAGTCTTTTGGTGTCCAAGCTGTGCAGATAACATCACCGTGTTCTTTTCTGAGCTCATGTCCAGTCCACCTCAACCTTCTTGTGACGATGCTCTCCAATCTGTCTTGATGACAATGAGCAAGCAGTGGTGCTGGGACAATAAACAATATTCTTCACAGACTCTTTGTGCAAAATGACAGCTTGTTAAGATTATTTCTTTCTTGCATCAAAGTTGCAAAGCTGCGGTTGTCACTCAGCTGTTGCGTGCAGTCCCTGTGTCTTGCAACATCAACACTTTATCGCCTGACAACTGAGAAATGACACCCACATACATAGTTTATTTTGTTTGTTTGTTTTTTGTAGCCAATGAAAATCCAAACTGGTACATTGTATTGCCAAAAGTATTCACTCACCTGCCTTGACTCACATACAGAATGAGCTTAAGTGACATCATTCCTGATCCATAGGGTTCATTATGAAGTTGGTCCTCTTTGCAGCTAGAACAGCTTCAACTGTTCTGAAGGCCRTCCACAAGGTTTAGGAGTGTTTTTGGGGATTTTGGACCATTCTTCCAGAAGCACATTTGTGAGGTCACACACTGATGTTGGACAGAAGGCCTGGCTCTGTCTCTGCTCTAATTCATCCCAAAGGTGWTCTATCAGGTTGAGGTCAGGACTCTGTGCAGGTCAGTCAAGTTCATCCACACCTGACTCTATCATGTCTTTATGGACCTTTGTGCACTGTTGCACAGTCATTTGGATGGGTGAGCAAATACTTTTGGCAATATAGTGTATATTTATTTTGAATGCAACCCATCTTTGTTACTACTGTGACAAAACTAATCTTTAAATAGAATTAAACAAGAACTTTGACTACATTTTGTACCAAAAAGACTTTAATGATTAAATGTGTCAAAGTGTATAAAAGCAGGAAGCAACTAAAAAAAACTCAGCTCTAGATTATAAAACTAAATTGAGAAGGTTCTTCTTCCATGAAGCAGCTCTGTTGTCCTCCATCCATATTTTCAGTTMCAGGCTGAGTCATTTCTACCTTCTCCTCTCTGTCAACGCTCTCTGGTTTCATTTAAAAGAGTCGATCATCAGATATTGTCCAAGATTAACCTTCAGGGTGGATATAGCTCGCTCACACCGAGGACCTATCCACGTCATCATTTACCCAGAATGCTTTGTGTGTAAATAAAATGAATGCGTGTAATATATTTTTAAACTTTTAGTTTAAMAATGATAAAAACTAAACATCCTACAGTATTTTTTACAGTCTTTATTTTACAGTTAAAATAAATGTTTATTAAATAAAGTCTAATGTTACAACTAATCGGGGATCCCTTTAATAACAATGAAATGAATTTTTTTAAACTGGGATTTTCCACTCAGAAAGTGAACTAAATGATGAAAATGTCTTGGAGACATTTTTAATGTTTTATTTTACACTTGGTGCCCCATAAACTTAGCATAGAGATACCAGGTGTGTGTGTGTGTGGTGGGGGGGGGGGGGGGTGTCAGGGGCAATCATAAAGTTGGCTCATCTTTCTAGGGTTTTAATATTACAGCACACATTTGGCTCTTCAAAATGACAACTCCTTTATTGTCTGACAAACAAAAACCATTTCGTCCACCAACACAGTACTTTTCAGTGCRTTGCTTCTTTTCAATCGGATGAAATTTGTACACGAATTTCCACTGGAGCACCTACGCAAACTTTCAAAGCCCTCACAAACATACCATCAAAAACCCAACACCTCATCTGCCCCCACATGCTAATATGTCCCAGACTATTTCCAAAACTACCCATGCACACACAAATATGCATCCCAACACACACACAGACTTGTGCACAAGCAAACACAGCCCTGCATGTGTCCATCTGCCCACAGAGGTCTTTTTAAGGCTCGGCTGACAGGACGACTGTAATGACCAGACGTCTGCAGTGCACCACCTGTCTCTCTGGGTGTCTCCAATAATTACCTCTTATGTTCTGAGGAGCAGGATGCAAGCTGCTTCTCCTCARATGCCCCATGTAGCAGGAAAAAAAACTTGGACACAGTGGCTCATTTGTTTCTGTGCTGCCATCTTGACCAGGAATCCCTGGAAGAAGAAACKTATTGCAGTAGGAATGTCCTGGTTAAATAAAAAAACAAAACAAAAACATCTAAATCTAATCTTTACCTAACAGATGTGTTGTGAGAAGTCTGGTCATTCTTAACCGTTTTACTTAGGTAAGTCCAGTTCTTTTAGTCAGCAGCTCCTTTGGGTCAAAAGTGAGTTTAATTTAAAAAAAAACAGGTGAAACAAAAGCTTTAATCTTCACAAATTAAAACTAAACCTGTGTTTTTCTAGATAACAGCTTTGAAAAAATACCTCAGAATCATCAAGAGAAACATCATGTTCCTTTGCCGAGCAGCTTGTATAAAAACGGAGCGAGGACATAAATGTTTGTTGTTGTTTTTTGCTAACCTCCACCCCATGTGGGAAATGACTGAAACAAATATTTTCTCCAGCAATAAACAGATCAGAGAGGTTAGAGGGAGTGAAATATTTTACCCAAACACCATCAGTAGCAGGTTCATCAGACGTTTGAATTATAATTATAGAAACATTATATATATATATATATA